TAGTTTATACTGTGTAAATAACAGGCGGGATTCAATATAATTGAAGCATGGGTACTTTTTGGCAGCTTTACTCAGTGAAGCACCTGATTGTAAACTGTTGACACACTTGGTTTATTCTTAGCTGCTCGGAGAGGCTGGAAATATCTTGAACGTCTCTTGGCATGAAGTCAAATGGGACTGAAGTAGTGTGTTCAGCGGAAGAGATCGGTGGTTTTCACCCAGAGCTTTGAAAGCACGGAGAGAAAGAGGAAGAGAGAGCAGCCCATAGCAGCCATGAAAGCCATGAGCCTGTGATCCTGCCGAAGAGAACATGTTTTCCAGGGAGAATTATGTCTCTGCATGTTTCCGGAGAACAGTATCCACTGTGTCCACCATTAATCACCCAACCAGAGCCAATTACTTAAAGCAGAAAGAGAAGCAGACAGACTGCACTGGGGCATTGCAATCCTGTAAACCTCTGAGCCTTGTGGTCATCCTTCAATGAAGTTGTGAAATTTCACTCTGTGCCACAAAGGTGGGGGGGGGCACATATGTCATAGAGATTATTGGAGAAGGAGTGACAACAATAAACACTCTGCAAAAGTTGATATCCGCCATATCCACCTTGTTTTTAACATAAGAACAGGCATGGCCATTTGTGACTTGAATGTTTGAGGCTTCTGGTGTCAATCTCTTAGTTATTTTTAGCTGTACAAAATAGGTCGTTATGCTGCTTGATATTGCAAACAGGTATTTCTTCTATAATTTTAATGTATTTTCAGAATACAAACACACTGGTTTGTAGCACAAAGTAGTAGTTTTAACATTTCCTGCACTTTGTTATTTATTATTTACCTACAGCGGCTAATGAATCGGAAATACATTCACAGAAAATAGTTGACCCTCCATGTTGCAAAATAAGGTAGATGAGATAACATATATACAAAATAGACACCTTTTACTTTCTTAATGCACATTTCTGGTCTTATTCTAACTGATTCATTTTTGCAAGTTATTGTACAGAAAAAAAACAGTCTTTCTAATCTTTAATTACAAAATAGTAACTTCCTCTGAAGCAGCTTTTCTTGTGTGCTGGCATCACTTGCATAGTAATTTATTATTGCATAATAAATAACCAAACCAAATAAACCAAATATCCAAATAAATAGCTACTTAGACATTGTTTCACATGCAGATACAATTACTCATTTACGAATTACTAATTTTTATAACAGTCACTTTTCATGATCCAATCAATTCCTGTTCGATAACGTCAACATTGAGGATGTGTTATTGTGGTCGACAGCAGGAGTATGTTGATGTGGCTTGGTAAGAGCCTTACCCTGTTGCTGAAGGGGTGACAGCGTAACAGGCTTTGTGGTGCTGTTTTCCATCACTCCCCCTACACTTAGAGAAAGCACACATATACACGTACGGCACTTCACCACTGGTCTGGAGTGAGATACAGAGTCCTGGGATAATATTCTTCATAACCCTAACGGGTAGTTAGCGGCAGGCACCATGTTTACTGTTAACATCTCGTCTTCCTTGCCAATGGTAAAGTCCAATGTAGAGAGACGAGGCAGGACAAGCATCACCCTCATGAACAGGTACAGTAGGTCCAGGTAATGGTTTGAGTGAGTGAGTGAATGTTTGCATCTGATAACTGCTTTATCTTGTTGTGTACCAGGAAGCTGTGACTTGTACAGCTCTGCAATAGCAACATATTCACTGTTCATTTCTTTATTTGCTTTGGTACGATTTTAAATTTTACATTTTAAATAAATTCTTAGTACTAATCTCCCAGCACATATTTTTAATAAAAGCATATATTCACTTAATTTTGTACAAAAAGTACATTTATTACTAGACCTAATAAGTGTTTGATCTAGATATTAATAATAATTGCCTTTAATTAATGCAGTTAACATAAAATCATTTTCATATGCCTCTGTTTTAACTTCTGATTATTATTTAATCAACTTGATCTTAGTGTTTAATAAACAAAGCATTTGGAATCCAGGTTGTGTGCCATTCAGAAATGAAATAAATTGAAATTGAGGAAGCAAATATGGAATTGCAACATGGAATTTATTTATTCATTTATTTATTGCCATTATCAATGTTTTGTGAAAATGAAATATTGGCTTGACAAAGTTTTGTTTGAAAGTTTTTTGAAAGTTTGTATCCCTGATGGTAGAGTGGTACAACACTTTTGAACCCATTGCCAGTTGCATTTAAATTTATACTCCTGTCATTTCAATTCAGTTTTCTGTGGAAATTCTTAAACTAAAAGGGAGCAAACATTTTCAGTTGTGAATTATTCACAACCCAGTCTGGTATCTTCAGGGTTTTAACAGGTTTAAAGGGGTCATATGATGTTGCTAAAAAGAACATTATTTTGTGTATTTGGTGTAATGAAATGTGTTTATGCGGTTTAAGGTTAAAAAAACACATTATTTTCCACATACTGTACATTATTGTTTCTCCTCTATGCCCCGCGTCGATTTTTACAAAGCTCATCGGTCTGAAAAGCGAGGTGTGCTCTGATTGGCCAGCTATCCAGT